ATGAAGAACTGATTTCTGATCAGACACTACAAAAATTAGCCATCTAAAAATAAGTTTAAAATACTAGATTACACCCTTATTCTTTTCAAATTAATAATAATTAATAATCTGCAGTTTGACAGTTTCACTTGGTAAAACTTATTGAAGTAAAAAAATACTTTTCAGATTAACAAGATTAATAATCCAACATATTCTGATCCTGTTTAGTATATGGGTCTAAAACAAGATCAAAGACTTTTTATCTGATATCAGACTATAAAACCTGGTTAGAGGAACAGTTTTCTGCAGTAAAATGACTCTACTGCTCAGAAACATTAACAGATTAAATAAACTTCACTTTAAACCTGATCAGGTTCGTTTCAGAGCATTTGTTACCACGGAAACATAAGTGCTTCATAGTTCATGCAACCGACTCAAGGCTTAATTAATTCAGGTTTACACCTAAATCCTGGCTTAATCCCTTATCCTAGACTCGTGCAACAGGCCTCAGGTGTTGAATCTTGTTGTAGTTCCTCCCTTGCTGCTGTATGTTCAAATATTCACAACACATTTATCTACAATTAGTTATTTCATTAAAGAAAGCTCAAGCAGCACCATGATTGTTTTCGGGGAGTGGTGGAGACCAAAAGCCCCACATCCCCAGTGTCCAGACTCTGGTTCTAAAATACATGGCAGCTTTCGTAAACTGAGTCCTAACACTGAAAAAAGACGGGGAGATATAGTGAATTATAAAACACGGTGACAGCGTCACTCAGATATCCACTGCAGGACCTGGATAAGGTTCCCCACCACACCAGAAATCCTCTGGCTGAGGGACTTCAAGAAGCCACGCCTCGTTTTCTTTCCCCTTCTCTTCCTCTCGGTTGGACGCTGCATCTGTTCCTTCCTCTGCCACCCTTTGTAAAACTTTGTAATAGTGACAGTCCCGCCCGTCATCAGGACTATAAGGAGGAGCCAAGATGTCCAGGAAAGCAGCGGGGCCGTCCACTGCGTCGATCTGATGCAGGTTGTCCCGCACAGGCGTGAGGAGGCACGGCCCGCTGTTCTCAGAGTACTCCACCACGAGTCGACGCTCAGAGCGCCACACAAAGGCCGTCTGCCAGGGGGCCAGAGGGGGGTCGAAGTGTGGCGGGACAGGAAGGCTGTTCTCCAGCTTATCAAAGCAACGGACATTCACCTTTCCATAAAGAACCTGGACAACAAAAACAACGGTCAGGGAAAAGACTCAAGTGCTGCAGAAACTAGACACAGCATGGAGGTAACACAATGACCCCCGCACGCACAAATGCACCACAACTCACAAGTCTTTATTCCTAATAAATGTCATGCACAGAGTCTGCAGGGCTCACGGACCGCACACAGTTCACCTGAGTGTGTGGGAGCCTTTAGTGTCAGAGTTTGGAACTGTTCAGACCTTGTTCCTGCAAACTGCACCTACAGTAGCTCTGAGCTGTCTGCACCGACAGGAAGACAATCAGCAGCAGAGATAACCATCTGATCTGATATCAGACCTTCCTAATTTAGTTTATGCTGTCATTTCAGACAGACTCCTACAGACCGAGTCATTTAGGATCTGTCTGGACTTTTCTAATCTCTAGATTAACATCAGAAACTGCTTCTAATTGAATGTTGACAAAGTGAGGTGGCCATATTGTTTTTGCCTGTATTTGTGAGCACTCAGTTATATGTTCTGTTAGCAAAATATCTTATTCAGCTGCCACTGCTAATCAACTTTAGTAAATGCAAAAAGAAGCTATGACCCAGCTATAACCAAGTTTGCAAAAAATTAGCTAAAATCTGATGTGATAGCAGCCAAGACTCATACCCAACACATATTCTACGTGTTTGAATGTTTGTTTTAAATAAAATTTGTTTATGGTTTAAAAGCTATGTCACAGATTCTCAGGAGTTATATGAAAAATGTATTTTTATAAAAATTTAGCCCTTTATGTTTTTAGTCCCAGTTTTGGATATAACT